AAATAGGAAGGTTATTAAGTTTCAAGTGTCCTTTCCAAACAACCCACACATGGCAGGCACAGGGCATGTAAACAAATATCAAACGAATGAAGATGCCTCGCCCGTGCCATGCAAGAACCCTAGGTAAAACCCGCACGAAACGAAACCACCGGAACAACCGAAACGAAACGAGCGAAACTACCGGGACCGCCGAAACGAAACGAGTGACACGTAAACGACCGGAAAAATCGCTATCTTCGTTTAATTTTCGTTTTAATTTTCTTTATCTTCGTTTCGGCGGTTTCGCTCGTTTCATTTCGGTGCTTCCGGTGGTTTCGTTTCGTTCCGTTCCGGGTTTTAGCACACGCCGGAAATCTCCCAGTATCTCGGTGATCCACAATCCCCTTGCCCACCCCAACCTCGTACCCAGCCTCTTTCCTCGAGGAGCGTAGAAGAAAGAGCCTGGGTACGAGGTTGTGCCCACCCATCTCTTCGGCTTACTGCTTGATAGTCATGACAGTTTCGTTCAAAAAGGCAACAGCAACTCCGAAGATTAAGGCACCTTTATTTCATGGACTTGTATACATCAATTCAATAGCGTTCAGTTCCTTTTGCTTTTTCCTCATCGCTGTTATACTTGTACTAGTTCTTTAACACATGTACATTTTCACAACAGACATGCTTGAGAGAGTGGTGGGCTTATTGGAGAGGGGATGACAATATTGATGATATATGGCATCATTGGGCCACGCTTTAGAATCAAATTCTCGATAAGCATATACCTATTGTTCAAATGAAGATTGCTAATCGCCAAATTCCGTGGATTACCGCACATATTCGTAAAGAGATACGTAAAAGAAACCAGCTTTATAAGAAATTTTGCAAAAATCCATCCGACATTAATTGGAAGTAACGTCTCTGAAAAGAAAGAGTATTAAAGATTTCTGTTTAAAGGCTTCTTTGAATAAGCAGAAACCGGGTGAATTTTGGAAAAAACTGAAACCCCTCTTCCCTTGCAACAAATCAAGTACTCATAATTTTATTCATCTTATAGAAGATGAAAAATTGATATCTGATCCTGCATCTGTATTTAATGAATATTTTTGCTCCCCCGTAATTGACCAGGATGCTTTGAAGCTTAAAGAGTGAACTTAGTCTTGGTTCGTTTTATATTCCTGGAGTGCATGTCTGATGAACTGATGTGTTTAATAATAATCCTCTAAAATTTCCTTAATATATTATTTACATGCAGACATTACAAACATTAACTGACATACATTACAATCACACAATATTAAACCTGTATCCTATCAACAAATATGTCTAGAATTAATTAAAAAATAAATAAATCTTTGAATGTTTAGTTCAGTTGACCTAGCATACTTGTTCTGATAGTGTTCTTTACAGAACCTTTTAAAGGCTCTGCATTTTGAAATCTGTTCCACAAGACTCACAGGGAAGGAGCCAGGTATGAAAACCTCCGTTTTCGATTCTGGCTTTGGGAAGATACAATTTGTTGTTTTGTAGTGTCCTTGTGGAGTAGTGGTGTTCCGGCTTTTCTAAGAGCGTGTTGAAGCAAGGTGGACTGATTTCGTGTAAGCAGTTGAAGGTTCGTAAAAGGATGTGTTGGCGGATGGTATCGTCTATGGGAATGATGTCAAGTTGTTTGAATAGGCTTAGGGATGGAGTAGTTAAGTCTGCGTTCAAAATAATCTTGCAGCTCGTTTCTGGGCAGAAGCTAAATGGCCAGTGTATGGGGATCCTGTTCCAAGACGGCACTTGCAGCAATATTCAAGTGTTGGCTTTGCTAAACTGTTGTGCCAAGAAAAGTAAAAGATCAGGCGTTTAATAAGTAGGGTTTGGCTCTTTCAACAATTTGTTTGTTTATTCCAACCTAGAGTCTCATCCATGTGTACCCCTGGAAGCTTTTTGCAAGGTGATTGGGAGATAGAAGTGTCACAGGTTCGGAGATGTTTACAAGTCACTTTTGCGCTCCGATGAGCATAACTTTGGTCTTATCTGGATGTGGTATCATCTACATACATGTATATATAGGAAGTGGATTCTGTATTTACAAGTGGAATGTCGTTAATTAATAAGATAAAAAGTAGGGGTCCAAGGGATGATCCTTGTGGAACGCCGCTACGTACTGGAGCTTACTGGGAGGAGATCTGACGTAGAGTGTCCTATAGAAATAAGTTGTTTTTAAAAACTGGTGTGATTTTTCTAATTTTCCACGGGTCTGGAAAGATGCCTGGGGTTATGCTGGATTTGTAGATGTGAAGAAGCGATGGAACGATTTTAAGCAGTTGGACATTGATGGCATCGTCTAATACCAGTAAGGATTTCAGTTCTTTATCGGGTGGTACTGCTAAAAGAGATGCGATTCAGAATGTCCATGTCCACGCGTTTTTTCTCTGGGACTTGACATGGACAGCAAGGACGGTAATGGAGGGGGGGGGGGTAATGTTTGACATAGGGGGGCCGCAATAGCTTTCGACCCCCCAAAAAAATCTTGAGAAAAAATATAATACTGAAATCCAGTATTATCCCAAAACAACGCTCCAAAATGGCTGAAAATGCCATTTTAGAGGGTCTACATTTCAAAATTTTCTGGAGGGGGATTCCCCCAGACCCCCTACATGGATGGTGCCTTCGGCACCACATTGCCCCCCCCCCAAAAAAAAAGTCCTACGCCCCTGGCCTTACAGGTTGATATATGCACCCCAGAAACCAAAACAACCATAGACACACTTTGTTATTAAACTATGAATTTACGCAACTGCACGAATTTGTTTGACAGCTCTTTTCAGGGAACACTATCCGCTGTGACACCTGCTTAAACTGAAGAGGACCCCTTCTCTTGTCTGGCTATTCAAACCTTAGTACAGATCAGTGATTCAAACTGCCAACGGAGGGTGGCTATGCCCAATTAAAACATGTAAAATTGGTGGTCGGACATTTTGCCGAAAGACCCTTTGCAGAGAATCATTTTGCCGAACGGACATTTTGCCGACGGACGTTTGCCGAACGGATGTTTTGCCGAACGGACGTTTTGCCGAACGGACATTTTGCCGAACGGACTTTTGCCGAACGGACATTTTGCCGAACGGACAGTTTGACGAACGGACAACTTGCCGAAAATAGAGATATCTTCTGAACTTAAAGGTTCGCTTACACGGTCAAAGTTTCTGTGATTAAAGTCATTGACTCATTGTCGATTTTGATGACAGAAACTTTGATAGTGAAGTATAGTTTCATTTTATATTCTATCCGAAATTTCGCGATATAAAGAATAACATCAATCAACATCATTCATGATACGATTTCCCCGAGAACTGTGAATGTGAATATTCCATGATTCTCGAAGTGAAATTCGCTTACGTCGTTGTCTTTATATACGCTTGTTTGTTTACGACCTGATGTCAAAACACGTTCCTAAGAAATGAGTCATCCGCTGCAGAAACAAGCTACCAATAGTTAATATGGTTATGCATTGCTAACGACTCTTTATGCACTGCTAATTAAGTATAGGTTATTTTGAGGCAACGAGGGGATATGTGATTTATTCACCGAGGCGCACAGCGCCGAGGTGAATAAACACATACCCCCGAGGTGCCTCAAAATAACGTACTTATTTTTCACATTGCGAGATCGTGTCAGTGAGTCAGAATAGAAATATTTCTTAATGCCACATTGCCTTCGTTATGTTGTTTTTTCTCATTTTTTGTGCTGCAAAGAGGCTATCTTTAAAACAAGGAACGGGAAATCGGGGAATGGGAATGGAAGTGGGAACGCGAACGGCAATCATAAAAAAAACATCATTTAAAAAACGAATAAGTTCTTTGTATGTTTGCATGGTGAAAAAATATAATTTATACTCTGTAGCCCTCACGGATAGAAAGCTTTGTGTATCTACAAAGTACAAAGTGCAAAAAAACGAAAAAGCAGCCGAGCTGAGAATGTCCATTTTATACATTCAACAAATTTATATCGTGCACACATTTCTGCTATGTTTAAAAGTGGGTTCCAGGGACCACTGTGTCACGTTGCCATGGTTGCGGCAGGGATATAGAGAACCCTCCCCACTCCATTCTTGATGACCTTGTCGTAGTTTAGAATTTTGCTAACTCGAAGAGTTATTCCATTAAAATGCACCGCAATGGCTTAAATTTTGTGAAACGAAATCCCACACAAATCCCTGTTAACCGAACATGTGCTAACTTGAACAATCTTCGCCTCCCATTCGAGATAGCGAGATTCTACTGTATCTTAGATGGCACTTTGCATGTATGATTATTTTAGCAATAAAAGACCGTTTCTGTGGGATATACCGCTGAAACAAAGCCGAATATAAGATTGGAGTCATTCGCGGCTAACGATAAACAGTGCTTGCAATTCAACTTTATTCTATTTACGAAAATAGCTGTGAATTATCATAGATCATAATAAATTAAACATAGCAGAATGTGTGCACGATATAAATTTGTTGAATGTATAAAATAGACATTCAATGTTGTGACGTGTACTCTATTTCCAGCATAAAACTGGAAGTTGCAGGCTTCGTTATGGACATATCCAAGAACAACGGTTGAATCACTATAGTAGATATTGGCATTGACGTCATAATCTAGTTCTTTAGAGTTAACGGATTTCCAGTCCAGTGCTCTCACTTTTAAGGAATTATCCTTAAAAATAGGAATTTTGAAGAGTTTTAAGAATTTTTTTAAGGAATTTAGGTTTTTGAGGATTTTTTTAAGGAATTTCCGAAATATTTTATCTTGGACTGGAAATGTTGGACGGAGGATAACACGCCACGCAAATGAGATTTAAACTTGAAAGTAACAACATTATACGCACATAATTACATATATTCGTATGTTCTCCTGCCTCGTACCCAGACGTCTCTTTAATATACTGATCCTTTTCCTCACATAATTACATATATTCGTATGTTCTCCTGCCTCGTACCCAGACGTCTCTTTAATATACTGATCCTTTTCCTCAAAAGGCGGCGCGCGAGAAAAAAAGGCGGCGCGCGAGAAAAAAGGCGGTGCGTGAGAAAAAAGGGGGGCGCGCGAGGGAGGGCGGGAAGGGGAAAGGTGCGTGAGAAAAAAGGTGGCGCGCGAGGGAGGGCGGGAAGGGGAAAGAAGCGGAGTCTCCTCCTTCTTTCTTTCCCCTTCCCGCCCTCCCTCGCGCGCCGCCGTTCGCGCCGCTTTTTTTCTCGCGCCGCCTTTTCTGGCGAGCCAATTATTCTCTCGCCGCTTTTCCATCTGCTTTGGCTTTTCATCTACTTTCCTTTCGCGTTCGCGCTGTATTTAGAGACCAAGACACGCCTGTGGAGGAGGCAGTATGTTCTCTATGTCATAAATGACATATGGCTATCTTTCCATTAAAATTCTCAAAAGTTAAATGTCAGTATATGCTGTTTCCTCTGAAATCTAATATTTTCTAAACTCTTCATGCAGCAACGATCAAAAATACATCATGCATGTTGAATGTTTTCTTTATCGCATTTAATATGCTAACAATCAAATGTTTTCAGATTTTATTGCTTAGAAACAGGGTTGAAAAACTGAAAAAAAAAGAGAAAAAAAACACTTTTTGCAGTAATTTTACCAATTTAAGGAATTTTAAGGAAATCTGAGGAATTTTCGAGCTTTTTCTAAGGAATTCGAAAATTTGATTGTGAGAGCACTGTTCCAGTCCTCGCACGAAGCTCTGATGCATGAGCACTTTCATCGAATCACAATGCTAAACAGTTCACTTTTGGCCGTATTTAGAAATCAGAGGAAGAACACTTACAGTGTTGGAACTAGTACGTAATATGTATAATTCGACTATGCTATAAATACCAGAAAAAAATACTAAAATCTGTCGCAATTCCGCAAGTCAACTTGTAAAATAATGAATATACTCTTACTTGCTTATATGATGTACGAACAAAGGCAGAGAGCTTCAGTCGAAGATATTTCTCCAGTATTCGGTCTTACTGCTTCAGCTAGTGCCGTAGCTATCGAGGATGCTAACCGCAAAATATAACCTAGCTTCACACGCATTTTGACGGACTTATTTCGCAAATAAATACATCAAACTTTATACCAAAATGTAGCAAATTTCACGAGGAGTTTGATTTTGGCGGTGTCCGGTGCCATACGCATGCGCAAATGGGCTCTAGAGACTAGAGCCTATTTACCTGAGCCGATGACTCGCGCGTAGTGTAAATTACTATTAAATATATGCGCAACCGCCTCTAAACACACCAAAAGTGACGGGCTTTATTTTCATTTTTTGCTCGTTAAAACACATTCAAAGGACGTCTGAAGGCCTATATTTTATGATTTTGGAGGTGTCCGAGCGCAATTCTTTGTGAATAAGAAACAAGAGCGAGAAAAGTGCAAAATTTTGCATTATTTTGGGTCAAATATTGTGAAATATGAAGCCGTGAAATTTGAAACTACTTTTTGTATTACGAAAGTTTGATATGCCGCCTTTATACGAGACTTGAACTCACGACTGTGGCATGGGACATGGGCAACTTCCTTCCCAGGGTGAGGAGAGACCCTGGGAACGAGGTTGGGACATGGGCACCACCCCAAAGCACAGCAAAGACCCTCCCCTAGCATTTCCATCAAAATGCGGCTTTGATTAAAAGCTCAATTTTCGCGTGGCAACCCTACAAACCCTAAAGGCCTTTAAAACTAGGTTACCAGCTTCTGACATGAAAATTCGGAGGGTGACGTAATTTCTTTGTGTGTGTTGGTGTTATGTACTCAGGTGAATATGAAGTTTGTGATGTTACTCTGAGTATGCATCCACACCGGGACCGCCTGATGGCTAACACCGGCCGTAGGCTTTTCTCGATTGTGCTAGCATATTTTTTAGCATAATTTGGGTAAACAAGCATAATTTTGCATTTTTTTAGAAAAAAGCACTGCTATCATAATCTGCAGACAATTGCCAGACATGTCTAAGTTTCAGAGCAAAATGCTAAAGATGTGAACGTTTTTTAGTTTTCTTTATACTTGTTCTTTAGAATTTTGTCCAAACACTTGCAGGAAGTGATTGTTAAACAACACTACGCTGACTACTGTAGTTAGTAAGGTAATCACCTTAATACATTGAACTATAAATAAACTGGAAGGCTAACTCAGGGGGGGAAATTGAAGCCAGTGCATTTTAGTTTTTCTGAGTTATGAGCAGAAATACTCAACACTGAACGTTGGGCTATATATCAAATTGAAGCTAT